TGGATGGATGGATGGATGGATGGATGGATGGATGGATGGATGGATGGAGGATGGATGGATGGATGGATGGATGGATGGATGGATGGATGAAAGAAACAAGCGTGGTGCTACCCCCTCTCCCGTCCTGATCTGACTCTGCTTCCAGCCTGTTCCTTTGTTGATGACATAGGCAATGTGCAGTAAGACACACTTTGGAGTTAAGAACTAGGTTTGCCACTCTGCCACTTAGCTTTGTAACCTTGGGTACCCTGCCCAGCCTCTCCACACCTCAGCTTCTCCATCTGTACACAATTTCTAACACCATGTTCAGGGTTGTTGTGTGAATTAGAAACTTAGAGAGAGAGACATAGGTACACATACCAGGTGTAAATAGAGGACCTAGCACAGTGCTGGACACAGAAGTACACAGTAGCTGCTGTTGTCGTTGGTGGCATCGTTCAAAGGGCCTTGACTGGCATTTGGACATCACTTCAGTCTCCAAAATAGTTATTTAAACCCCATGGTACTTTTTTTTAGGTTGGAAGTGGAGGGGTGTGGCAGGCACTAAAGGATTGTTTTTAATATTTTTTATTGATTTTTAGAGAGAGAGGGAGGGAGAGGGGGAGAGAGAGAAACATTGATTGGAGAGCAAAACATCCTGCACACCCCCTGCTGGGGATCAAGCCTGAAACCCCACTTGTGCCCCTCCTGGGACTCCAACTGGCAACCCAACCCCATTGCACAGCATGAGGCCCAACCAACTGAGCCACACCGGTCAGGGCAAACCACATGGTACTTTTAATCCAGGTTTGCTTGTGGTTTCTACAGTAAAATTTTCCCCCAAAGTAGGTGTACTTTATTTTGCATTTATCAACAGCTTAAAGCACATTTTGATGGCTCCCCTTTTCTTACTAGTGACAGTTCTCCAAGACTCTCACGTTATGCAAAATCCCACACTAAACCCCTGGATTCATACCATTTAAGAGAAGCTTTCTCTTTACTGCCAGAGCTGGTCACTCGCCTGGAGCCCGCGCAGAATGGCTGGGAGAGCTGGCAGGCTGGGCTCCGGGGAAGGTGTTTAGAAAGGGTTCCCTCGTGTGTGCGTGTGTCTGTTGTGTGTGTGTTTTCCTCAAGTCGACATTACTTGTGTGGCTGCTGTTCCCCGGCAGCCCTGTGATTAGCACAGGCCCCTCTGTCCCCTCTGCGCCGCGTGCATTTCCAGGCTGCTCATGCAGCATCCGTAACCCCGGGGCCTGTAAATCCCATTTAAAAACTGAAAACGAACTGCCTGCGATCCTGCGCGTTTCATCTGGCTCGTGTTTGACCAGACAAGAGAATTCATTGCGTTNTCT